GACATGATTGATTCAGACGCGTATTCAACCCGGCAACAACGCCAGCAAGGGTCGAATAACGTCCCGAGTTACATGGCCCCGACCAAATCTGCCAAGGCCAAGGTCCGGGGCCAAGGCTCGGGCAAGCAGATTAGCCCCCCAACTCCTCAATGGAACCCTTCAACGAGGAAGGGGTCGGTTGTTGGGTCAGGGTGTGATTCGTCGAGCTCGGGTGGAGGGACAACAAACTACCTGATCCCAAGAAGCCCAAGCCCGAAAAGTAGTGGGCACCGTGGGCTGGCTAGAGGGGCTGTGGGCTTTGGGCCTGACTCACCCCACGGTGATGATTGGGGCCTGCCGCTTGCTGTTCACAGTTGGAGACATGATTTCAGTTAGTTGTAAGTTAATATGAGGTGTGACATTAATTTCCATTTGCAAGACCTTTTGTTTATAATGTGTGAAAAAAGCATTGTATTATTTATTTTAATTGTGTTATGGACATGGATCCACGAGGCTTTGTAATAATATATTATTAATATATTGTGAAATATTATATAAAATTGTGTCGTTATGTATCATCAATTTATGATCTGAATGAGGGTTTCTTTGGAGAAAAAAAAAAAAAATTTAGGTCAGTCACTAGTAGAAAAACATGTTTGCGCGACGGAATCTTGCGCGACGCAGAAAATTTTGTCGCGCAAAGTCTGTTTGCGCGACGCCAAACACAACACGTCGCGCAAAGTCGACGTAGGTGCACGTACGTCGCGCAAAACAGTTTTGCGCGACGTCGGCCTTCGTCGCGCAAAGTTTTGGCGCCAAACCTACATTGTTTTACATTTTTTCCTAACTTTGCGCGACGTAGGTGCACATACGTCGCGCAAAGCGGTTTTGCGCAACGCAAATACACCTACGTCGCGCAAAGTGTTTTTGTTTTTTTTTTTGCTTTTCTTTTGGGGTTCTTTCATTGCCTTTTTCTTTTGTGGTATCCACTTGTGTAAATGTTTTAAATTGACGATCGAATTAGTTCATTGTATTCATATAGGTTTAAAGAGTGTAGCTGTAAAAAATCATCAAAATTGGAGTTAAAATAACCGTTAAATCGTGATTTTTCGTTTATAGCCGTCGAAAAAGTTTGTCCCGTACTTAGTCTTTGAATGTTTGTTTTTTTCGATTTTTGGCGTATGCGATCTCGAAGCATATACAAACATGTTTGACGGTTGGATCGTTGAAATTAGTTTCGTAAAATGCGTATCTCATCAAAACCATAGATTCACTAACATTTAAAGTTTATTTATACTTTCATTAAGTATAACATAAAATTTTGTGGTGTCCACTAGTGTAAATATATTAAATTGAAGATCAAATTAGTTCATTGTATTCATATAGGGTCAAGGAGTGTAGCTGTAAAAAATCATCAAAATCGGGGTTAAAACTACCGTTAAATCGTGATTTTTCGTTTAAACCGTCGAAAAGTTTTGTCCCGTTACATCATCTCTGCATGTTTGTTTTTTGCGATTTTTGGCGTATGCGATCTCGAAGCATATGCAAACAAGTTTGACGGTTGGATCGTTGAAACTAGTTTCGTAGAATGCATATCTCATCAAAATAATAGATTCACTAACACTTGGGAGTTTATTTATACTTTCATTAAGTATAACATAAGATTTTGTGTTATCCACTTGTGTAAATATTTTAAATTGACGATCGAATTAGTTCATTGTATTCATATAGGGTTAAATAGTGTAGCTGTAAAAAATCCTCAAAATTAGAGTTAAAAATAACCGTTAAATCGTGATTTTTCGTTTATAACCGTCGAAAAGTTTTGTCCCGTTACTTCATCTCTGAATTTTTTTTTTTTGTGAATTTTGGCATATGCAATCTCGAAGCATATACAAACAAGTTTGACGGTTGGATCGTTCAAACTAGTTTCGTACAACGTAGGTACAATTGCGTCGCGCAAAGCCGTTTTGACCGACGCAGTGGTACCTACGTCGCGCAAAGTCTTCTGTTTTTTTTTTTTTTTTTTTTTTTTGAGTTCTTGCATTGCCTTTTTCTTTTTGTGGTATCCACTTGTGTAAATGTTTTAAATTGATGATCGAATTAGTTCATTGTATTCATATAGATTTAAAGAGTGTAGGTATAAAAAATTATCAAAATCGGAGTTAAAACTACCGTTAAATCATGATTTTTTCGTTTATAGCCTTCGAAAAGGTTTGTCCCATTACATAATATCTGAATGTTTGTTTTTTGCGATTTTTGACATATGTGATCTCGAAGCATATGCAAACAAGTTTGACGGTTGGATCGTTGAAACTAGTTTCCTACAATGCGTATCCCATCAAAATAATAGATTCACTAACACTTGGAATTTATTTGTACTTTCATTAAGTATATCATAAGATTTTGTGGTATCCACTTGTGTAAATATTTTAAATTGACGATCGAAATAGTTCATTGTATTCACATAGGATTCAGAAGTGTAGTTGTAAAAAAATCATCAAAATTGGAGTTAAAATTACTGTTAAATTGTGATTTTTCGTTTATAACCGTCGAAAAGTTTTGTCTCGTTACTCAACCTCTGAATATTTGTTTTTTGCGATTTTTTGCGTATGCGATCTCGAAGCATATACAAACAAGTTTGACGGGTTAATTGTTGAAATTAGTTTCGTAGAATGCGTATCCCATCAAAACGATAGATTCACTAACACTTAAAAGTTTATTTATATTTTCATTAAGTATAATATAAAGATTTTGTGGTATCCACTAGTGTAAATATTTTAAATTGACGATCGAATTAGTTCATTGTATTATATAGGATCAAGTACTATAGCTATAAAAAATAATCAAAATCGGAGTTAAAACTACCGTTAAATCGTGATTTTTGGTTTATAACCGTCGAAAAGTTTTGTCTCGTTACTCGACCTTTGAATGTTTGTTTTTTTCGATTTTTTGCGTATGTGATCTCGATGCATATACAAACAAGTTTGACGGTTGGATCTTTGAAATTAGCTTCATAGAATGCGTATCCCATCAAAACGATAGATTCACTAACACTTACAGTTTATTTATACTTTTATTAAGTATAACATAAAGATTTTGTGGTATCTACTTGTGTAAATATTCTAAATTAATAATCGAATTAGTTCATTGTATTCATATAGGATCAAGTACTGTAGCTATATAAAATAATCAAAATCGGAGTTAAAACTACCATTAAATCGTGATTTTTGGTTTATAACCGTTGAAAAGTTTTGTCCCGTTATTCGACCTTTGAATGTTTGTTTTTTTCGATTTTTTGCGTATGTGATCTCAAAGCATATACAAACAAGTTTGACGGTTGGATCGTTCAAACTAGTTTCGTAGAATGCGTATCTCATCAAAACAATAGATTCACTAACACTTGGGAGTTTATTTATACTTTCATTAAGTATAACATAAGATTTTGTGTTATCCACTTGTGTAAATATTTTAAATTGACGATCGAATTAGTTCATTGTATTCATATAGGGTTAAAGAGTGTAGCTGTAAAAAATCCTCAAAATTAGAGTTAAAAATAACCGTTAAATCGTGATTTTTCGTTTATAACCGTCGCAAAGTTTTGTCCTGTTACTTAATCTCTGAATGTTGTTTTTTTTGCAATTTTGGGTGTATGCGATCTCGAAGTATATACAAACAAGTTTGACGGTTTGATCGTTCAAATTAGTTTCGTACAATGCGTATCTCATCAATTTCAATAGTATGTGTGTATATATATATTAAGTAAATTTAAATTTATTTATATTGTACGTATAACACTTAAGAAATTGAAAAACATGTATATTTATTAAGTAGCTTTAAATTTATTGCAATTGTTATAAAAATATATTATTGTGCGTTTTATGTAAAAAAAATTGAATTTGAAGGCAGTAAAATTACATTTCCAGTACATTTTATAGTATTTATAAAAAATAAAAAAAAAACCTTGCACGACGCCACATGTACTTGTCGCGCAAAAACCCTTTGCGCGACGTCGAAAAGTAAACCTGCGTCGCGCAATGTGTGATAATTTTGGCGGTGCACTTCTTAAAAATAGGCGCTTTGTTTAAATTTTCGCTATCTGTGATAAACCCGAACTCTCGCTTCTCACTCGGTCTCCCGAACTCTCTCTTCTCACTGAACCCTTTCTTCTCACTCGGTCTCCCTCATCCTCTCACGCAGGTGAATCACCCTCTCTCTCCCTTTTGCTCACTCGGTCTCTCTCTCCCCAAACCTGAACCCTCCCTCTTTCTTTCCCTCTTTATTTCTGAGTTGTGATAAATCTGAACCCTCCCTCCTTCTTTCCCCTTCTTTCGAACCCAATCTTGAACCCTCATTCTTTCCCCGTAGACCCCAAATCTCCCTTTCTTTCTTTCCCTCATTCTTTCCCCTTCTTTCGAACCCAATCTTGAACCTTTCCCCGCAGACCCACAATCTCCCTCTCTTTCTTTCCCTCGATTTACTGAAGAAACTGTTTGATCATCAATGACTGGTTTTGTTAGAACGAGATTGAAACGGGTCACTTACCCGCTCGACGACTGGGTGAAAGATAGACTCGTAGGAGGATACAGCTCCGGACCTAGTGACGCCAGCAAAGGAAGCGAGCACTCCGGCGACTACGACTCCCCTTGCCTCTCCGAGCTCGTCCGCGGCTGGGTTTCACGACAACCAGTCGAATCGGGTATTGGGCCGTGGAAGGGACTTTTTAGTTTCTTCTTTTTCTTCTGTAGGTGTATGGGTAAGGAATGGACTTTTTAAAAAATTGGTGGAAGTTTCTGTAGGTGTATGGGTAAGGAAGGGACTAATTAGGAACAAAAAGTGGGGTTAGGAGGTAAGTCCATATCTTCCTCAGTCAGAGTAATATTCAAATTAGGGAAAAGACAAGTCCTCACTATATTTCCTTTACATTTCCTTATTTGAGCACACTGTTAAGCGGCTTCTGCTTGTGTTATCTTTAATTAACATTTCCATTTAAACAGGCTCAGAGGATTGGCATGATCACACACTGCAAGAAATGTGTAATGCTCCACTTGGCATGATCAAAGTTAAGGTGCAACTCTTTTTTATATACGCCACTTATCCTTTTTAATTCTTCCCATTGGGGTGGGTGCAGGCAGAATAAGCATCTTGAACCTTGACCATCATTGTTAAGTTCGGTTTGTTCTTCTTATGGTTCTGTAGCTTTAGTTGATGCTGTTGGTTCTTCATTTCCATCATATTTAAATATACTATTAATAACAATATTAAATACAAGTGTTTGTGGTGGTTTAAGTGTATTGATTTGTACATTTAAGTACCCATCTCTGCACATTGTTTCTCATATCCTCTCTGATATGGTGGCGGGGATTTAATTTTCTATGTGTTATAGTGAAACAGATAATTCATTGGACACTCAAGTACTATTCCTCCCTTTGGTTGAGGTTTCAGTGAAGGCTTTACTTGTCATATCATCAGTAGCTCTACCTGCAGCTCCAAGTGCAGCGACACGAGTTTTGTTCTGTGCTCATCATCCATACTTGGTTGGAACTGCAAAGAGAGACGCAGTTTGGAAGGTAAATCTTTCTCATCAGTAGCTGTATAATCTGATACATTCTAATGCAAACCTTCCTAGTATTGGTCCGTGGAGATAGCTCTATGCTTTGTTTGATGCTTTTCCAAACCTCACTTGGTGTTTCTCAATTCCAAATTTGTCAATTCGGAAAACAGGAATCTGTAATATGTCTTACAGCATGGTATTTTTTGAGATAGCTCTACTGCCGGTTGATTAGCTCACCTGGCCCTCAAGTTGTGCCAAGTTTTCAATTTTTACAATATAGACAATCCATAGTGGAGGTTACTTACATTAGTACGGAATTGATTGTTAATTTATTGTGTAAAGATAAAGTAGATCCCACTTTGTTGGCATTTATAGAAAGACCATGATGAAATTGTTTTGCATCTTTTCAGTTTTGACGAATGATAAGTGTTATTAATTTATGAAGTGATGGATCAACTTTTATGTTATTATGAAATCTGTTGGAGAAGCAGAGTATATGGACTGATATGAAATTCGTTGACATGTTTTATGGCTTGGTTTTTAACTTTTCAGTTATTTTTTTGTGATAATTTCTGTTAAGGAGAAGCAATGGAGAAAATGATAGCTACAGAAGGACTCGAATGCATTTCTTAAAATTCTGCACTTGCTCTAAACACCAAAATAGACATCTGATCAAATGATGAATTGTAATTAGAAAAGGATGTAAGAATGCCATCTTTGCTTATACATTGTTCTATGTGCACTATAAAATATTGAAAGAACAGAATGTCATCTTTCAGTATATACACGCAGACTCATTCGGTCTTCTCACAAAGTTTTGCAATTTTGTTCATCTGTATGTGTGTTTTGTGTATGAACATGGAGGTGTTCTTCTTGTACAAATTAAATGTGAAAATGAAGCTATGAATTTGGTTTAGTTTGGTTTTTATTAATTTGGTTTTTTTCTTCTTTTGCAGTTTCTGGTTGAAGGGTTTTGATCTTTTTTTAATCAGTTGAAAGCGATAGACGTGGGTTTTTATTTTGTGAAAAGGTATAAATTCTCCACAACAGATTTGCTCCTCCTCCTCCCATTTTCTCTCACTCTCTATCATATAATATGGGATTTATTTTGTGTCCTATAATAGTACTTGTTAACCATATATATCTCTTTGCAATGAATGCCTCAGGATGTGGTGTTATATGCCTAAACACGTATATGTGCAGAGGTTGATGCATTGAAGGAAGGAAGTGACAACCCTAAAGGGTCAGCTTGCGATCTAGGAAGAGCAGATGAGGGCGCAGCTGAGGGCCTAGGACGAGGAGATGAGGAACTATGCCGGGACGGTGAGAGACCTTGTACAAGACATACAGATGTCCGGCCTCCAAATCTCGCTACCACCACCTCATCTTGCTCCACCTTCGACCTCAGAGCCATCTTGTCGTGCCAATACCTAGTAGCCTGATGTATTAAAATTAGTTCACTTGTAGTTTTTTCTTTTTTGTTCGAACATCTTGTATGTACATTTTCATATATTTTATAATTAAAATATAATTAAATAATTTTGCTTGGTTAACTAATTATTCTTCAAACTTTAATTATAATATTTATCAAAAATTAAAAAAAAAAATTATTTTTGACCAAAAAAAAAGGGGTTTGCGCGACGAACAAACGGGCTTTGCACGACGCAGGACGTACGTCGCACAAAGTGGCTTTGCGCGACGTAGCATGCGTCGCGCAAAGCCACTTTGCGCGACGCACGATATGCGTCGCGTAAAGCCAATTTGCGCGACGCATGTTGCTTGTACGTCGCGCAAAGTCTAGCGTCACTGCCTTGGCGCGACGGTTAGCGCGCGACAAATGTTGCGTCGCGCAAACCTTTAGGCAACGATTTTTGACTTTGCACGACGAAGGTACCTACGTCGCGCAAAGTGTTTTTTCTACTAGTGTGCTTTCATTTTGAGCCGAGGGTCTACTGTCCCCAATTATCTGTCTTTTCTATGTCTTCGTTCTAATTTTTTGACACATGTTCTTCCACTAAACTTTAAATTTCACACAGTTATTTTGCATAGAATTTAATTAAAAAATAAAAAATAAATAGAAAAATTAAAGACCACCATAGCTGAAAAAATATTTCAGCTACCTCCCCCATTCTAGCTCTGTAGCCACCGACCCCCCCCCACCCCACCGTGCATTTCAAGCCACTGGGTTCTTCCTCATCGGGGCAAAGCTTCTTTTCCTCTCTTTCAATCTCTCTCTCTCTCTCTCTTTCTCTCTTTTTCCAACATTGCCGTATTGACATTTTCGTTGTTGTCACGTACAAGGAACAAAATATCGCGATATGAATTCCAAAAATACTTCAAAATTTCTGAAAAGTCTCAATTTTGAGCATAGAGGGATTCGAACCCCTCCTATTTGGTAGGGCTGGAAAAAATTCTCAAAAATCCCAAACCAAACCGAAAAAGTCCCAAACCCAAACCGAAAAATTCCAAACCAAAACCATCCCGAAAAATACCGAAATTTTCAATATGAGATTGGTTTCCAAATCCCATTTGTTTGGTAATCCCGAAATCCTGAAAAATACCAAAGTATTCGGTTTCCTATTGACTTTTGGGTTTTGGTTCTTGAAAGCCATTGTCATGGTTGCTGACTACTCTTCACAATACACTTACTCTACACATAGAGATGATGAAGATAGTGAAAATTTTGAACCTCATAGGAACTCTATGTGGTACTAAGTCACTTATGTATCTTATCATGCAATGTATAAAGTGTAAAATATTGTACTAATTCATTATATAAAAATAATTATGGTGTGTTTAAACTTCTTTCATTAATTACTACATATTTTCTACACTCACAATGTTTGTCAGCTTGCTATATAATCAACTTAAATCAGTTAAATCCATCATGCAATGCATTTCCTTCCAATTTTTTGTGATAAACTAATAGATAATTGACTAAATAAACATCCTGCAAAGTTTCAAAAAAAAAATTCAAGTTTTTCTTACAATTTACGTGGTTTTTAATCAATTTTTATCGATATCAATAATATCCCGGTATTTCCATCGATATTTCCGTGTTTTTGGACTACTGATATTTCCGTGTTTTTGGACTACCGATATTTCCGATATCATCGATATTTTATACTTTGGTCACGTATCAATTAATTAGATATTCTCAAATTTCAAACTTCACACACTTTTTGCTAGCGGTGATAGGACGTACTAATCACATATCGATCGATTAGATATCCCCAAATTTTAAACTTCAAACTTCACTCTTATTGGCGGGATGGATTGATCGTCAGGGATTTGAAAAGAAGGAAAGGAAAGAAAGCTTCGTCAACTGTGAGGAGCAGCGCTGATGATGGGGTTGTATAATTGTAGTGGGTGGTTATCGAGTGTTAGTTTTTCTTTTCTTTAATTTTTAGTTTTTAAGTTAATAGACAAACCGTAACTATATAAATTGTGAGATATATGCGTTAAAAAGTTAATAATTTAAAAAGTAAAATTTTTCACTAGCTGGATTAGTGAGTGGGATACGTGTTAGGCCACGTCAAAATTGAAATTAATCCTTCTGTTAATTTCTCTGTTAAATGCTGACGTGGCCCGACACGTGTCCCACTCACTAATTCAGTTGGATTAAAAAACAATTAAATATATTTGTAATAATTAAATATTAAAAAATTAAGAATTAAAAAAACAAAAAAAAATTTCCTAGGGGTGCGGCATCCCCTTTCCTTCTCCCACACCAATTTCAATTTTTTTTGTTCTTCTCTCTCATTCTTCTTCTTCTGTGCTGAAACTGGATTTGTCACTTTTTTTTTTTTTTAATTCTTCTTCTTCTTCTTGGGCCGAAACTGGGTATGAATTTTTTTTTTGTTTTTTGTTTTGTTTATGGGTTGCAGATAGAGGGAAAAGGGGACGAAGATGAAGATAGGGAGGAGACAGAGAGGGTTATTCTTCTTCTTCTTGGGGCGAAACTGGGTTAGATTTTTTTTTTCCTGGGTTGCAAGTAGAGGGAAAAGGGGAAGAAGATGAAGATGGGGGAGGAGAGATGAGTGCACGTTGGGTTTGGGGGGGGGGAATTGGGTTGGCAGAGTGAGGGAGGCGGAGTAGTCGAGGAAGATGATGCCGTGGAACAGCATCGTTGCGATCTCCAGATCGAGGGTGGCGGGATGAGGGAGGCGGAGTAGTTGAGCAATATTGGGTTCTTCGTTTTGGGGTTTTCGAATTGCGACAACAATTGCTGCAATGGGAAGGTGGGTTTTGTTCCTCCAGGGTCTGGGTCTTATGGGATGCAGAGAAGATAGAGAGGCAAGAAAGAGGGGAGAGAAAAGGTGGTGGAGGATGGGTGAGAAGGGGTTTTGGGTTGCAGAGAAAAGAGAGTGGGGAGAGAGAGAGGAGAGAGAGAGATTTAATATATATATATATATTATTAAAAATATATTTTATTATTTTTTTAATCCAATTGGATTAGTGAGTGGGACACGTGTCGGGTCACGTCAGCATTTAACAGAGAAATTAACAGAAAAACTGACGGATATATGACATTGTCACAAATTTGTAAGATGTGTTATGACATTGTCAATTTTAAAAGATAATGTATGAAAGTATCGTGACACCAATAATTAAGGTAGTTTTTTATACTTTACCCTATTTTAAAATGCAAATCTCGTGAAGGGACCAAATTGTTCGAGTCTTCAACAATTGCACTAAAAAGGCTGCAGATTTCAAGTTTCGGCAAACTTTACTTTTGGCATCACGTGTCTCTCACTCCACACCTCAGTCCTCGCCAATTACAACTTTACACGTGTACCTTCCCGACCACGTCACCTCTGCAAGCCGAACCATAATCCCCTGCGTCCCTATCGGACACCACAACCACCTCCTCGGTCGCGATCCTGCCACGTCCGACGCTTCAACATCTGTCTTTCGTTGGCCAACACGTGGAATCATCTTAGTGGGGGTAGGGTTTTACGGGGATGTGGTGCGGAACAGGGAATCAATGTTCTGGGTTTCGCGCTTTTTCTGGATCTCACATATCTGATCCCTACAGGTGGTACGTAGTTCCTTGTTTGTGTGAGACATCCTTATTTTTTCCAGGTTTTTTTTTTCTTCGTTCTGTCAGACGTAATTCTCGTTTCCTTCCGGCGGATATCGGACTCGGGTCCTTTCTCTCTCTACACACTCCGCTTCTCTCTTTCTCTCTCTAGAGCTCTAATGGAGTCTCTGAAATTCAGTAGCTTAATCCCATGCAAATCGTCGTCCTTAATTCCGGTTCCAACTAAGTTCACGAACCACCAGGCGATTGGGCAACTGGGTTTTGCTCCCCTGTGGAAAAGACGGTGCAGAAGAGTCGGTCTGCGGCTCAGAGCGTCGGTTGCCGGCGGAACTGGCGGCGGCGAGCAGGACGGCGCTTCTGCGGTCGAAGACCAGCAGAAGGACGAAAAGCGTGCTTTTTTGGGCGCCGAGAGAGACGATTCCGGCGCCTTTCTTGGGTTTAACTTGGTTCCTCCCAACGGTAAGTTTTCAGGCTTCCAATTTTGCTTATTTATTTATAAATTCTTCTGCTTTTACACTGTTTTTAAATTGGTTTCATGGATTCTTTGAGAAATTTGAAGTAGTTTTTGGATTAAAAAAAACCTGAATTAAGGGTTAAACCTGATTAGTTTTTAAAAAATTGGACTTAAAAAACCTTGAATGCAGAAAGGTTTAAGTTGATCACATTGTGTGGCACGCTGATGGAGACACAACCTGGAAATATTGATACATGTTTGATTTGATGCATTGATTAGTGAATGTGGAGTAAATGTACTCTAGATTTTAATTGCTGTTTGCCCAAATTAAGTCCTCAAAATCATTGCTTTTTGTTTGCAAAGCGATATTCTAAACTACCTTAAATATACTAGGAGAGTTACCATGCTGGCCAACTTGGACTAACCCATCTCTCCCAAAAATCCTTGTTTTTGGTTAGATAAGAGACGTGTGATGTGTCAAAATTTGCTATTTTTAGTATATTGGGGTCATTCACTAGTAGTGGTTTTTGGTGGAATCTTGACTTGTCTGTGGTTGTCTTGGTTTTGGATGTCCACATCAATTTGCACATGAGGACTCCAGGTCCTCATTTTATGTGGTCTCCACCTCAGATTGTATTTTTTCCACTCTTGGTCCCATATCGGGACCTCATAGCATGTACATTGTCCCGTTCATAATCGAATGCTGCATTTTCATTGGTCGAATGGAGTGATCCTGCATATTTTGATGAGTAATTCCAAACCCGGCATGTCGACATATTCTAATTTTTTTTTATGAATTATTTGTGGACCCGTCTGATATTTTACTTCAGGTGAAACCAAAGTCAGTGACTCGCCCGAAGATGTTAGTTCTGTTGGAATGGAAGAATCAGTGGAAATAGATGGCAAAGAAACGTCCAAAGCAAGTGTAACACACAATGTTGTGTTTGTTACTGCCGAAGCTGCGCCTTATTCTAAGACGGGAGGCTTAGGAGATGTCTGTGGTTCTTTGCCTATTGTTCTAGCGGCACGTGGACACCGTGTTATGGTTGTTTCTCCTAGGTACCAAAACGGTACTGCTGCAGACCAGAAATATTCTGGTGCTGTTGATTTGGAAACAAGCATCAAGGCTTATTGCTTTGGTGGAGAGCAAGAAGTTTCTTTCTTCCATGAATATAGGGCAGGTGTTGATTGGGTAAGATATTGGGGATATTTCGCATGTTCTAGTTTATCCATTTTTAAACAGTTTGGCCTTCTCCAGACTGATAGAATTCTCTTGCCAATGATGACCTCTTTCCGTATCTTCTTTAGGTATTCGTGGACCACCCGTCATACCACAGACCTGGAAATCCATACGGCGACAGTTTTGGTGCATTTGGTGACAATCAGGTATGGTTTTAGACTGAAAAGTTGTACGTAGTGGATAGATCATTTAAGTAGTGTCCTGTTTTATTCACGAATAATGATACGTTTTATTCTCATTTGGTTTTACAGTTTCGGTTCACTTTACTTTGCCATGCAGCGTGTGAAGCACCATTAGTGCTTCCACTGGGAGGGTTCATCTATGGCGAGAAAAGCCTGTTCATGGTCAATGACTGGCATGCCGGCCTTGTGCCACTGTAAGTAGTTTCAACCAATTAAATGGATTAGCTATATGATTTTGTTTTAAATCGGGTAAACAAACTGAGAGTGGAGATCTGATGATTACATGTCCCTCTGATTCAGGCTTTTGGCTGCCAATTATCGTCCATATGGGGTTTATAAGGACGCACGAAGTGTTCTTGTAATTCATAACCTTGCACATCAGGTTGATGCTTTTTCTTCCTTTTTTTGTTTTGTTTTGTTATCAATCTTCAGTCGTATATCCGATCAACTTTATTAAACGTTGTCTTGTAATATGCAAGGGAGTGGAACCGGGAGTAACATACAAGAATTTGGGACTACCTGCAGAGTGGTATGGAGCACTGGAATGGGTGTTTCCAACATGGGCAAGGACCCATGCTCTTGACACAGGTGAAGCAGTCAACATCCTGAAGGGTGCAATTGTGACATGTGATCGGATTCTGACAGTCAGCGAGGTCAGTTGTATTCCATATATAGTCGTCGTGTCTCATTTAATGAAACATTAAACGTTTTTATGGTGGTCAGTAATATGACCTGTTGTCGGATTTTCAACCTCATTGCATGTTTAGAACTGGAAATCTTTAATTGATTAATGCTACATTGAGATAATCTTGTTCGTATAATCATGATTGCAAAATGTTTAGGCCACTTGTATGACGAAGATGATAGCGTTTCTAACACCTTCCTAATGGACATGTGCCTCCTTATTTTTCATCATGCTATTCTTCTTCTTTCTCATGATTAAATTATGCCTTCGAATTGTAGGGCTACTCCTGGGAAATAACAACTGTTGAAGGTGGATATGGTCTAAATGAGCTACTAAGCAGTAGAAAGAGTGTTCTCACTGGTACGTTACTTGAACTTCATCTCTCATTGTCTAACTTTCTATGTGCCATCCTCAAGGAAATTAACTCTCAATTAACGGAATAATACCATCTGACAGGAATAACGAATGGTGTTGATGTGGTTGAATGGAACCCATCTACTGATCTACACATTGCTTCCCGCTATTCTGCTGATGATCTTTCCGGAAAGGTGGCTAAGTCTGTCATTTAGTATGGGGGTGTTATGGTATTATTATACTATAGTCCGCTTACCCTTCTTGTGTGCGGGCTGCAGGTTCAGTGCAAGCTTGCTTTGCAGAAGGAATTAGATCTTCCCATTAGGCCGGATTGCCCATTGGTAAGACATAAAACATTGCTGTCTAATTATGCTATGTTTCAATAACAAAAATACTCCGCTCCTAATACCGATTCAAGTTTTGAACCATATAGATTGGATTCATTGGCCGACTGGACCACCAGAAAGGTATTGACCTGATTCAGTTAGGAATGCCACAGCTTATGGAAGATGACGTGCAATTTGTGAGTCTTTCTCCTTTCATTGATTTTGGTATTGTTATTTTAAGTAGCTTGCTCCCAACTTTCGACAATTAACCTTTTTAGTTTCTGCTGAAAAATGTTGTAGCACAAACTACGGTTCATAAATGCTCTTTTGTTTCAACTATACGCATGTAATATTTTTCAGGTTATGCTGGGGTCTGGGGATCCACAGTGTGAAGATTGGATGAGAGCAACAGAAGCAACTTATAAAGATAAATTCCGGGGTTGGGTTGGATTTAACGTCCCAGTTTCTCATAGAATAACCGCAGGGTAATTCAAGATTTCGTGTTTCATTGTTTAGACGTTTACTATATACGTGCATCATACTGACCCTGATCCTGTAATTACCAGCTGCGACATACTCTTGATGCCGTCAAGATTTGAGCCCTGTGGACTTAATCAACTGTATGCAATGAGATATGGAACTGTACCAGTGGTTCATAGCACAGGAGGACTTAGAGTGAGTTTAAATACTTGAAAAATGAAATCCGGTTCTTCATCACGCGGCCTCTTTCTCTGACGATTTCTGTTGTGTTCCAGGATACAGTAATGAATTTCAATCCATATGCTAAAGGAGGCCAAGGTGACGGGACAGGGTATGTTACTCAGCTCTATTGCTTGATGCATTTCTTTGACAGTTTCTCGTTACAAAAGTTTCGTAGCATCTTTACTTATAGCATCGTTGTTGATTATATTGGCAGGTGGACTTTTTCTCCATTGACGAAGGAGAGTATGCTGGCGGTAAGTTTTTCTGCTACTTCTCTCGTTTTTAAAACCCAAACATCGATTATTACCGTGTTCTATATCAAAGAATCGAGTAAATTGGATGTTCATATAGTCTTGCGGAGTTTATTCAACTTAAACCAAATGTTGTATATCTTTTTCACCGTACTGACTCACGGAGTCGCGGTTAATACATTGCAGGCACTAAGACTTGCTTGTAGGACTTTCACAGAGTACAAGCCTTCCTGGGAGGGATTGATGAAGAGATGCATGGAGAGGGACTTCACATGGGAAAGCGCTGCAATCAAGTACGAGCAGGTCTTCGAATGGGCGTTTATCGATCCACCCTACGTCAAGTAAACGTCTCGAACAGAAAAGAACACCCGAGAGATGAAGAACAACGTCCAAAAAATTTCACGGTTCAGTTCTATTTATTATCCGTCGGCTGAGAGATCAAACACGCTACAGCAGAGAAGGTTTTCGTTTCGTGTTCATTGTTTTCGGTTGTCGACACGGTAGGTATATACAGGAGCAAAACTATGTAGTTCTGAATCGTTTTAGTGAGTGCAAATTAATAAGCATCCTGCAGTTTCACTCCCCATTACATAAGATAATTAAGAGCAATCTCAACCTTTTAAACCTTAATTAGTAGACATTTTTAAACGTATACTTTAATTAGCAGAAGAAATGGGATCTATTTATTTGTTCTAAATGATTTGCTTCCTCCCGTTGGTTTCTGCAAAATTAAGAAAGTCAACTCCTACGAGGTTTGGTACAATAATATAATTGGTTGAATTTAAAAAAAAAAAATGTTGTCACTAATTGTTTCATGATACTTAATAAATCAGATTATATTTCCGACACACGGAAAATTTCTCTATAAACAAAGAAGAAGAAATGTCCTAAGTTGACTTCTCTGCTAGAAAGATGGATTATTCAAAATACTTTAGATGAAAATAATAATTATTCATCTAGTTATATTATAAAACTTTTGTCCTCAATATAACATGTTCTATATCAAATTCTAGTTTTAACACTAATTTTTCGACGTGACCGATCTACTTTCTAACACACTGGGAAAATAAGAAGGATCGACAAGCGTTGAATTTAATTAATAACACAAATAGAAATTCTTCAGTATTTCGGAGTCTATCGGAAAATGAAGAAAGCTTCTAAAGTTAATTGAAAACAATAAGAGTTAATCTGAATTACAACTCCAAGATAAACCTCTTTATATAGGCATCAAACGCTAATTCTAATAGTAAATGGAAATCTAATGAATAAAGGAAACAATAAAGGGAGTTTTAACAAAAACTCGCGGTACTGTTCACTTTAACGAAAAATTACATTTTTACACTAAAAAGTCAATCATGGTACTATTCACTTTACCCTTTATTTTGTCCTTATCATTACTCAAAATTTTCAAGCTATTTTCATTAGTTTTCCTAACAATTAAAAGAACTCCTAATTAACTAGAGAAAAAAAACCTAATTCTTATAGTATGAGGAAAGATAAAATCACCCAAACCCTATTCAAGCAATCCAAATATTTTAAGGGGTGTGATATCCACACAACCCATTTTACTTCTCACACACCCTTCTAATTTTCGGCCGTTTGATCAGATGAATTGAAGAAGATCAATGAACATAAATTAACAAGGGGGTGTGTGATAAGTAATTTGGGATGTGTGGATAGCACATCCCTAATTTAAACGATACTCCTTTTTATATTTTATCGCAGTATACTTTATTGTTGAACATAAATTTTCTTTCTTACGTTGTTCATTGTCAATCGTCTATCATTCTCTTTTATCTAGTTTAACCACTTTAATCAACCCCTATGTATCCTACACATTTTCTTTTTTTTACGCTCCTGATTATCTTTCGATTTATTTAATTCAAACGTTAGAAGAGTGATTCTCTTTTATAAACAAATCACAATTATTGTTTGAATAATATGAATAAAAAAAATTATCATATTGAAGGAGTCATTCTTTTTTGTCAACAACTAACAATTATTTAAAATTTCTTTTTATGGCAGTTTCTTCGAATAAAACCTAAAAATCATTTACCAATACACTTTTCTCTCTGCCAAAGCACCGCCACCGGAAGCACACAAGTTCGTGCCCCACACCAAAATATAAACAAAAGATAACATGTGATTGCCTGCATCAACCAGGCCAGCAAGCACCGAGTGAGCCTTCCACGTTGCACATTATAAAATAAAATTACATTGTATCAATCAACTAAAAAACTGATTTCTTTTTTCTTTTTTTCTACTGAAAATATAATATAAAAATAAAATAAAAATACTAACGACCTTTTGATTTGAACACTTTCGATTTTGTTTCTCGTTCTGCAATGTTTTTTTTAATGATGAAGATTTAGAGTGGCAAATTAACTTATTAGTTGTTGATGAGCACTTGTTAAGATCCGTTTAATATAATATTATTATAATATAGAAATAAGATTGGTAATGTTAATGATGATGTAAGGTGAATCAGACTGAATGTGTCTTAATGGGTATTCGTTAAGATCTGTTTAATTTGAAATAACGGTAATATAGAGATGAGATTAATAGTAGTGATAATGATGTAATGTGAAATCAAACTAAATCAATCTTAATGAGTAGCCACTAACAACTAAATAGGTTGATTTGCTACCTCTAAAAACTGGTTATTTTCAAGATCATTGTAAAGATCATCTATAAAAAAAATTTAAATGAATTTAAAAAAAATGTAGTCATCTAGTTGTTATTCAATAAATAGACACATCATATTTTCACTTAAATATTAAAATTTAGAGCATGTTATAGCTGAACGGTTAAACGATTCATGCTTTAATACTTTTTTACAAAATTGATTTTGAAACAATAATTTATAATATGAACGATTCTGACCGTCAAACAACATTATATAGATATAAGTAAGAAAAACAAGAGAACAGTTATGATTATCAAAGAACATTATATTAATAAGTAAGAAAGACGAGAAGTTTTATATGTGAGAAAGTTGCAAGCATCGTGTAATATGCATAATGAAGGGTACATCCGTAATAAATCCCTCCCGCGAGGGCACTGATTAAACCAGCCGTCATTCCGTTTCTTTTCCCTTCAATTCCAACGCATTTCAACTGTTGATTCCTCCCTTCAATCGGAGGAGACTAAACCCTAGATATTTTACAGAGAGAGAGAAAGAAACAAAACAAAATCCGATCCTCCGGGAAATGGTATAGGGAGAGAGAAAGCAGCAGAGAAACTCTTAAGAAACGTTTCGGCGTCGTGGGGATTCGAAAGATTCGATCTTTCCGAATCGAACACCCACGAAAGGGATCGAAATCACATCTTGTTCTTCATCCATTGAATCTCCGATTGAAAAGATTCAAAAGTTTTGTTTTTGGTGGGAAGAAAGAATCGATGATTTCGAATCCGGATCTGATTTTCTACGCCTGCATTGCCCACAAGGTCATGATTCTCGGCGAGTTTTCGAAAGAGCCGGGTCTCGGAAAGTTAGCGCAGCAATGCGTGGAGGTAGCCCCTCCCCATCATTCCATGTTCAGTCACACGGTAAGAAAAAAGACTTACATTTTCTCATTTCATGACCCTTTTGTGTATTTCGCTATCTCCGATGCCGATCTCGATGACTCCGAGGCGCTTTCGTTCTTAAACCAGTTGAAATCCGGTTTTGAGGATGTTACTGGAAGTGGGTCGATCTTGGTTCGGGATAATTTTGCCCCCAATTGCTTGCAAGTCCAGTTTGATTCGATTATTCGAAAAGTAATGGCCTCGGACTTGCCCAATTCGCCGGCAGCCAGTCGGAATCTAAGCTTTGGTGCGAGTAAAGGGAAGAAAATGGTGCTGACACCGCTGCTTGGGAAGAATCCGAGCGAAGGGTTGAAGAAGAAGAGGAGGTTATCCGGGGAGGTTAATGGCGATCTTTGCAAAGATGTGACTGCAAAGGAGAAGAAGGTGGATGTGTGCGATGATGCTAATGGCGGCGGGTTTAGAGATTTTCCGTTGCCAACCCAAAAGAGTGGTCTTTTGCATTCGGGTGACCGCCAAAAGGCCAAGCAAGTTTGGACGAGGCATGTTTGGGTTGTTTTGATCCTTGACTTGTTTGTTTGCGCCGTGTTGTTTGGGATTTGGTTGTGGGTTTGCAGGGGATTCAAGTGCATTGACAGTTGAACGGGCGGATTTGGGAGGTTTTGGTGTTTCGGTGTTGTTGTATTGTGCTTTACTTTGAAGATGGATGAAAATACTGTAACATTACAAACAAGCACTCGAAGGGATAAGTTGGCGAAGTCAATCAGGCTCTGTTTCAATTGTGTACCGGTAACTTTCTCCTTGGCCCTCCGGTGAGCTTCTTGTATGTATCTTAAGCTATATAACTTGTGTTATACAAATAGCGATAAGCGTTTTCATGTGATGCATCAAATTGTGTATACTTAGATCATCACTATGCAGGCATTGTTTTTACTTTCCTTCCGTTGTTTTCGGTTGATGTTGTAATTGCTCGAATGTCTTGATATTTGAGTTTACCAATAGAAACTGTTTGTTTGCTTTTAATGGAAGTTGTTTCTGTTTCTGTATTTGATTTCCATTTCCTCCGCGGTTAGTCTCTTTATTTGATTCTTTACCTAAAACAAGATAAGATCAAGAAGCGAAATCTTCTTTATTTGATTCCGTTGTCTAACGCGTTCCCTGCTATGGATACTTTTCTTCCACGACAGATTAGCGTCTCGTATTTGCATAGATGCGTTAGATAAGTCATGAATTACTTACTATGTGAGGATATCGAATGTCAAGGCAGTTACTGGTGCTGGATGGAACAGTTTAACACCACATGGTGGCGGATTGGCGGTGTCACGGTCGCATTCAAACATTTCTATTTGAGCTGCTGCTTCTTACCAAATTGCAGCAGAAGCAAAACATTACCGACGTTCGAGCTACCATTTTCCGGTTCTGCTACAAACCAGGTTTATCTGACAGTTGCGGTGACGCACGCAGACGTGCAAGAACGTTGAGTTTCAGAGCTTCAAGGAGCCTACTTTGGACGCCGCTGCTGGCATTTGCTTCATTACCTCCGCGACTTAGGGAAGATGTCGAGTTAATAGGCCAACTTAGTAGAACCCAATGGGTTTGGGTTTCTGAACGCTCTGTTTTTCCTGCACATTTTTGGTTATCGAAAGTTCAGAAACTAAAAAAGACGTGCTAAGAAAAAAAAGGAGAGTGCGGAAATTATTTCTTAACCATTATTTTAAAAATTTCTTAGGTGTTCGAGGAGTCTCGATGTTTTAACTATTAGATTTTAATTTTTATATTTTTAAATAAAACTTACGGTTAAAATATTCATAATACCAGATACTCTGGAGCATCCAAAAAAGTCCCAGATGATATGGCTTAGGGGTGGGTATAAAAACCGTCAAACTGCATCGAACCGTATGGAAAAAAAACAGAAAAGAACCGTGTTGATAGGAAAAGTCAACTTTGAGTAAAAAACGGAACAAGACGGGTTCAAACCGGTTCCGGTTTCGGTTTCGAAGGAACAATATCCGGTTGGAACCGAACTGAACCGTTTTATTAATAATAAATTAATTAATTATATAGATACACGTGTCATGGTATAATAGATTGAAAAATTAGTTTTACCAATTTGCAAAGC